TTTTGAGACGGAGTCTTGCTCTGTTGCCTAGGCTGGAGTGCAGTGGCGTGATCTCGGCTCACTGCAAGCTCCACCTCCTGGGTTCACGCCATTCTCCTGCTTCAGCTTCCTGAGTAGCTGGGACTACAGGTGCCCACCACAACGCCCGGCTAATTTTTGGTATTTTTAGTAGAGACGGAGTTTCACCATGTTAGCCAGGATGGTCTCGATCTCCTGACCTCGCGTGATCCGCCCACCTCAGCCTCCCAAAGTGCTGGAATTACAGGCGTGAGCCACCGCGCCCGGCCTGAGCTGTAGTTTTTAACCAGCTCTAGAGAACAGGAGATTGAAGCCTCTCATGGTTTAGTCAGGCCACTGAATGAGGGACTTGCTTGCTTTTCCGGGATCTATCTTTTTTTCTTTTTTCTTTTTTTTCTTTTTTTGAGATGGAGTTTTGCTCTTGTCACCCAGGCTGGAGTGCAGTGGCATGATCTTGGCTCACTGCAACCTCTGCCTCCTGGGTTCAGGCTATTCTCCCGCCTCAGTCTCCCAAGTAGCTGAGATTACAGTTGCCTGCCATCATACCCAGCTAATTTTTGTATTTTTTAGTAGAGATGGGGTTTCACCATGTTGGTCAGGCTGGTCTCGAACTCCTGACCTCAGGTGATCCACCTGCCTCTGCCTCCCAAAGTGCTGGGATTACAGGTGTGAGCCACCGTGCCCAGCCTGGGATCCATCTTTGTAATCTTTGTCCCATGCTTTCAAATCTATGCCTTGGGGCCCCGATGAGCCTCATTTTCCCCACTTGCAAAATGGCAATACAATGCCATTGATGATAGCAGCCTATCATGTGCAGTTCACATGTATCATCTCATTTTGTTCTTACAAGTTTGTGAGGTGGGCTCTGTTATGTCCCTTTTACAGATGAGGAAATTGAGTTAGAAAGGAGAGGCCAAACAGCTAAGAGGCAGAGCCTGGATTTGGACCTATGTTGCCTGACCTTAGTACCTGTGTTTTTGACAGCCAGCCTCAGTTGTAACAATTCAGTTTGATGAAATAATGACTGTCACGATGCTTTTTAGCCTGGAAACCACAAACAAGCTGAATTTATTATTGTAAAAATAGAATGAGAGGTCTAAGAAACCTGCTTCTCCCCTCCACTTTTTTTTTTTTTTTGGGGGAGACAGGGTTTCCCTCTTTTTCAGGCTAGAGTGCAGTGGGATGATCATAGCTTGCTGCAGCCTTGAACTGTTGGGCTCAAGTGATCCTCCCACCTCAGCCCCTAAGTAGCTGAGAGTACAGGCATGTGCCACCACGCCCGGGTAATTTATTTTTATTTTTATTTTTTTGTGGAGACAGGATCTTGCTATGTTGCCCAGGCTGGTCTTGAACTTCTCGCCTCCCAAAGTGCTGACATGAGCCACGGTGCCCAGCCCTTCTCCCTTTTTAATTTGAATCTATTTATTTTTTTCTCTCTGTGGCCCAGGCTAGATCGCAGTGGCGTGATCATAGCTCACCGTAACCTCAAACTCCTGGTCTCAAGCAGTCCTCCCACCTTGGCTTCCCAAAAAGTGCTGGAATTACGGGCATGAGCCACGTTGCCCGACCCCTCCTCCCTTTTTAACTGGCCCTTCTCTCCTCCCTTCGTGGCTGACTGTTATCCCACAAATTATGGGAGGATAAAAGATGCCAAGGAGTTGATACCAGTGCCCTAGCATTTCCTGTTCCCTTGCTGGGAAACCGTGTATGATCCTATCAGGGTTATTCCCTGATGTCTGGGTGAGCACGAAGGGAGAGGCTGAGCCCTGGGACTGCCCTCTCCTGGATGCTAAGCCCTAGGACTGCTCTCTCCTGCAGCATCACTGGTGTACCGCCTGCCCCAGTCGTGGGTGGGGCCCAAACTGCCCTGGAAACTCCTCCATGCAGCGCTGCACCTGATGGCCTTCATCCTCACTGTTGTGGGGCTGGTTGCTGTCTTTACGTTTCACAACCATGGAAAGATTGCCAACCTCTACTCCTTGCACAGCTGGCTGGGCATCACCGCTGTCTTCCTCTTCGCCTGCCAGGTGGGTTCTCTGCGCTCCTCCTCGAGGTTCCTAGAGCCATGAGCTCTGGTTGGGGGTTCACTTGCATGAGCACCAAATATTCCTTCTGCTCACTGCCTGGAGAGAGCCTTGGAGGTTGTATCCTGTAGAATTGACAGTTTCTTCCAGGGCTGTGGGAGGTCAGTGGCCTGAACTTACTCTGTTCCTTTTATCCCTCCCATTGCCCGTCTCTTGTCCCAGAGCCCTCTCTGCTAACTTTGTCATGGCACGTACCATGCGGACTCTAATCAGCCATCTGGCTTCCACTTTCCCCACTCCCACCTCTGTGAACCGAAAGAATTCTAGAAGTGCTTCCCATATTCTGATCTCAGGCCTGTGCAAGTGAGGAGTTTTGAGCAAGGACTGGAAGGAAGCAGAGACAAACAAGGTGGTTAGGTTTGCTGGGAGTGGGATGGTAGCTAAGCATGTCATTTACTGTTCTTGTTGCTTGGGTAATAGGCCACATTGAGGAAGCTAGCATGGTGGTGGGCAATGGCTGGTGGGAGGGTCTGAGTTGTGAAAGAAGATCCAGGGAGTAGAGATGGGGAGGAGGCGCTGCTGGGGTGGGCTGTGCTTTGGTCACACACAGCACAGTTGGGTGCGTCCTCCCTTTTGTCCACAGTGGTGCCTGGGCTTTGCTGTCTTCCTCCTGCCCTGGGCGTCCGTGTGGCTGCGCAGCCTCCTGAAACCCATCCACGTCTTTTTTGGAGCCGCCATCCTCTCTCTGTCCATCGCATCCGTCATTTCCGGCATTAATGAGAAGCTTTTCTTCAGTTTGTGAGTGCAGTGGGGTCCCCAACTCTAAGGTGAAGAGGAGGGAATAGGGTCTTCAAAAGATACACCCTGTGATCACAGGACTCACCCAAGGGAGGAGAGCTTTTGGGGTTGGGCCCATTCCTGATCTGGAAGGTAACAGAATTGATCTTTCTTTAGGTTGAAATTGGTAAGTCAGCAGATATTTATTGAGCATCAGTTTGATTTAGCACCTGCTGTGTGTCAGAAACTGTCCTAAGCACCTTACATTTAATCCTGTCCACCACCCTACATCATTGGTATTGTTGTCATTGCTATTTTCTTTTTTTTTGAGATGGAGTCTCGCTCTGTCGCCCAGGCTGGAGCACAGTGGCACAATCTTGGCTCACTGCAACCTCCACCTGCCGGGTTCAAGCAATTCTCCTGCCTCAGCCTCCCAAGTAGCTGGGTCTACAAGAACGCGCCACCATGCCCGGCTAATTTTTTGTATTTTTAGTAGAGATGGGGTTTCACCATGCTGGGCAGGCTGGTCTCAAACTCCTGACCTCGTGATCCGCCCGCCTCAGCCTCCCAAAGTGCTGGGATTACAGGCGTGAGCCGCCGTGCCTGTAATGCCATCATTGCCATTTTCAATTGGAACAGATTCTGCAATAGGACTGTTCAGGTAAAAAGGGAAAAAAAAAACAAAACAAAACAAATGAGGGAACAGAGGGGTTACGTAAACTTACCCAACGGCACACAGCCAGTAAGTGGCAGAGCTGAGGCTTGAGTTAGGCAGTCTGACTCTAGAGCCTTGCATGCCTTACCACTACTGTCCATTTTTTTGAGGCAGTGGGGTGTAGTGAAAAGCAACTAGGACTTAAGGTCAGACTGTGGTTTTGATCTTGGCTGTGCCATTTACTAATTATGCATCTTTGGGCAAGTTAATTTCATTGCTTTGAGCTTCAGTTTCCTCATGGGTAAAAGGATTATTACAGCTGGGTGCAGTGGCATGCACCTGTAGTCCCAGCTACTAGTGAGGCTGAGGTGGAAGGAGTCCAGCCTGGGCAACGTAGGAAGACCCTCTCTCTCCTTTTATCCCCCCCCGCCAAGAGATAGCATCTCACTCTGTTGCCTAGGTTGGAGAGCAATGGTGTCACCATAGCTTACTGCAGCATCAAACTTCTGCACTCAAGCGATCTTCCCAATTTAGCCTCCCAAGTAAGCTAGGACTACAGGCATGGACCACCTCACCCAGCTAAGCTTTATTTTTGTAGAGACAGGATCTCACTATGTTGCAATGTTGCACAGGCTAGTCTGGAACTCCTGGGGTAAAGCAATCCTCATGTCTTGGCCTCCCAAAGTGCTGGGATTACAAGAGTGAGCCACTGTGCCTGGCTCATTATACAAATATTTGCAGGGACTTAGAAAGGGTGTTAAAATTCTAGATCACATGTGGCCCCGGGAAGGTTTTCTCACCTTCTCTTAGTGACATCGAGTCTCCACTAGACAAAAATAGGTGGAAAAATCTCTTGAGGGCTCACATTGTTTTGTCATCTTCAGGAAAAACACCACCAGGCCATACAACAGCCTGCCCAGTGAGGCGGTCTTTGCCAACAGCACCGGGATGCTGGTGGTGGCCTTCGGGCTGCTGGTGCTCTACATCCTTCTGGCTTCATCTTGGAAGCGCCCAGAGCCAGGGATCTTGACCGACAGACAGGTATGGGTTCCAGTCCCACATTCCAGGGTGAGACAGGGCCAGGTTTAGAGAAGGATCTCCCACAAAAGGCTGGGGCCTTGACAAGAAGACTAACCCTGTGGCACAGTGGGAAACCAAGTAACTTGAGGGTGGAGTTAGGGTGGCTGATGGGGAGCACTGGTTCCAAACCAGCACATCCCAGCGAAATGCTGGGACTCCCCAGGTTCTGTCCTTTGGGCGACAGAATTTCCCCCCAAATTACTGTGGTTCTGTGGGGTGAAGTGTGGCCTTATCTTCTTCCCCAAGGAAGGGCTTGACTATGACAAGGGTGTGTGATTTCTCCTTTACCAGCCTGGGGGCTAGTCTAGTGGGATGGGTACGTGGTGACCAGCTGAGTGCTCGGAGCAGGTCTTGATGGGATGTAGGGAGATGGGGTGTGTACCAGGCTCAGGGACTTTGGGGCTTCCCTGAGGGATGTGGTGGCTTGGGTGGGGACCACCCTGCAGGTTGGGGGTCTCTTTGAATAGCTTGGGCCTGGTGTGACTCCTGCATCATGTCATTAACTCCTCGGCATCTGCCTGTCTTTCCAGCCCCTGCTGCATGATGGGGAGTGAAGCAGCAGGAAGGGGCTCCCAGGAGCTCCTGGTGGTGCAGCCTGTGTCCCCCAGAAGCTCTGCTCTTCCCAGGGCTCCCAGCTGGTTTCAGCAGGCAACTTTCTTCGAATGCTGGGCCCAAACTTCTTGCCTGGGTACTGGGCCTGCCTTCTCCAGCCGCTTGCTGCCTGTCTGCTTTTCTTGGTGGCTTTGGCTTCCGTTCTCCTTGGCATCAGCCTCTCAGGTCCTCCATTCACACGAGGTCCTCCTTGCTCTGGCCACTCTTGCTGCTCCTGTCTGAAGAAATCAGACTGATTTCCTCTTAAGACTCCTAGGGATGTGGTGAAGAGCTGGGACTCAAGTGCAGTCCACGATGTGAACCATGAGGGAGGTGAGGTGTCCGTCCGCTTCCCCCATAAAGGCGTGCATTTCAGTTAGGCTGCCCCGCCACAGAGCAGGCTTCATCTGGATGAAGCCCCGTCTGGATGTGAGGTGGGGTGGAGACATCATGGGGTGATTGCAGAAGCGGGGAGTGGTGGCCCACACAGCTTCTGCTGAGGAGCTGACTGCTCTGAGCTGTTCTGTTTCGTATTGCTGCTCTGTGTCTGCGTGTATTGTGACCGCGCGGCTCCACCTCTTCCAGCTGCTGCTACAGCCGAGGCCTGGATCCCGGCCTTTCCCTGTGACTTACATGCCTGTCACCGGCAGGCAGCCCTACGAATCCTGGTAACCTGCTCTCCCAAGAACAGAGCCTGTCCCCAGATGTCCCAGTAGCGATGAGTAACAGGTGGCTGTAGACTTCCTTTACTTCCCCTTGCTGGATCAGGGCCTTCCTGCCTCCTGCTGGGCAGATCTGGCCTTGCTCTCTTGGCAGGGCCCCAGCCCCTCTGATCACTGCAGCTCACCATGCAACTGATGCCAAAGTTGTGGTGTCCTGTGTGCAGCAGCCCTGGGAGCCACTGCCACCTTCAGAGGGGTTCCTTGCTGAGACCCACATTGCTTCACCTGCCCCCACCATGGCTGCTTGCCTAGCCCAACCCAGTGTTCTGTGCCATGCTAGAGCTTGAGCTATTGTTCTTCAGAGGAGGAAATACGGTGGGGAGGGGGAAGGGTCTTGCTCCTCTCCTAAGTGTTGCTGCTGTGGCTTTTTTGCCTTCTCCAAAGATGCACTGCCAGGTCCCAAATTCCAGACTGCTGTGCTTAGTAGGCAAGTGAGAAGCCTGGGGTTTGGAGCCCACCTACTCTCTAGCAGCATCAGCATCCTACTCCTGGCAACATCAGGCCAACTGTCTGCCCCAGCCTCACATTGCCAGATGTTGGCAGAAGGGCTAATATTGAACATCTTGATTGGCTGGAGCCTTCAAAGCCACTGGGATGTCCTCCAGGCACCTAGGTCCCATGACCAGCTCCCTGTCGCCATAGGGGTAGGCATTTCACTGGTTTATGAAGCCCGAGTTTCATTAAATATGTTAAGAATCAAAGCTGTCTTTGTTCAGCCTGCTATAACAAAAATATAATAGCCTGGGTGGCTTAAACAACAAGCGTTTATTTCTCACAGTTCTGTAGGCTATAGACATCCAAGATCAAGACACTGGCAAATGTGGTGTGTGGCAAGCGCCAGCTTCCTCAGAGACCGTCTTCTCACCGTAACCTCACATGGTGGAAAGGGCGTGAGAGCTCTCTGGGGCTCCACCCTCATAACCCAACCACCTCCCAAAGGCCCCACGTCCTAACACTACCATAGTGGGGGTGAGCCTTTCAACACAGGAATTTGCGGGGGGGACATATTCATTCAGTCTCTAATAGCAGCCCTCTGATGAAATGATGCTGTAGTTAAATGAGTTCTGGGCCAATTTGTAAAAGCCTCAGGACAGGTCTGACCCTCACAGACCTAGGGAGGGGCCAACTGGAAGGCACCAAAGATCCACATGATCCTCTGTCTTCATGGAATGGCATGTGTGGATTCACATGCAGCTCATTTATGTGCGGATGTCCTTAATTGCTAATGGCACTTGCTTATCTCACGAGGAAGGAAATTTTTCCTATTTCATAATCTGAGAAAACAAGACTCAAAAAGGTTAAGTGACTAGGTTGAGGTCACCCAGCCAGGAAGTGACAGAGCTGGGATCCACAGGCCACCGTCTGAGGCCAGCCTCCTTCGCAGCTGCTGGGCACACACCCCTGTGCAGGACGCCTTGTGGTCAGGGACATATGGTGCAGCTGACAGACAGGACCCTGGGTAGAGAAGCCCAGGCACTGGGGGAGCCTACAGCCAATTTGGGCGAAGTAGGTGACGGGGGTTGGGGGGCACAGGAGGCTGTTTCCTACCAGCTAGTGGTGAAGCGGATGATCTGGGAGGGGCTGGGGGCCCAACCCTTGTGATAACTCCCAGTGAGTGAGCACTTGGACTGTGCTGGGCTTCATCTTCATCAGTTCATTGGAATCCTTTCATGTCCCCGTGAGGTGGGTACCATTCTGATTTTACAGATCCCAAGGGGCTAAAAAATAGGCCTTAGCTCATGTAACCAGGTTAAAGCAGAACCAGATTTCAGATCATGTGTATAAGTCAACAGCCAGTGCCTTTAACCACTCCCTACCCTACATGCGTGCCAGGCACGTGCTATTGGTCTCCACATGCACAGAATGCCCCTTCTCACCCTGGTGCTATCAGTGATTGCTCTAGAAAGAGACCTAGGGGCTGGCTTGGCCACAGCCCTCCTCTCCCCTCCCCTCCCCTCGCTCTGTTGCCCAGGCTGGAGTATAGTGGCATGATCACAGCTCACTGCAGCCTCGACCACCTGGGCCCAAGCCATCCTCCCAACTCAGCCTCCCGGGAAGTTAGGACTACAGGCACACACTACCATGCCTGGCTGATTTTGTATTTTTTGGTAGAGCCAGGGTTTCACCATGTTGCCCAGGCTGGTCTTGAACTCCTGAGTGTAAGGGATCCCAAAGTGCTGGTATTGCAGGTGTGAGCCACCATGCCCGGCCTGGCTGCATTTTCTAATCTACAACTGAACCTTAGACATGATGATTTATTTTCCTTCTGGTGTCCCAAATGCCCATTTGACTCCCAAGGAGCCAATGAATTGTTAATTCGATGCTGAGAAAAGCCTACCTACCATTCTTACATGAATCAGGTGTGTGTACTGGAAAGGGGACAGGTCGGGGGTCTCGGTGGAAGCAGCCCAGCTGAGGAGACACTGATTTAGGGGCTCAGGTAATAAAGATCTGCCTGGTAGAAGATGGCTCATGATGCCTGCAGCCAGGGCTGTGGGCCCCTTTGTTTACATGCATGGGAAAAGGTCCCTCAGAGGAGGCAGTGGCTTTCTTGCTTCCATGTATTATAGTTTATTAACTTTCTTTTCCATGCTCATTGGGATTAAGGTGCAGAAGGCATTTCACAGAGAGTCTTAAAACCAAATTAGGATTGCCAGATAAAGGCTGCACAAGGAAAATGCCTTATCTCTGAAGCCCAGAACTGGCAGGGGAGGGCATGACCCAGGGACTCCACCCTCTCACAAAGGGAAAGGGCATGCTGGAGAGGCACGGGGACCCACTCCAGCTCGCTCTGGGTGCTGTCTGTAGTTCTGGAAGCTTGGTGGAGGATTTCCTGCTCAACTTAGAGGGTGGGCCAATGGAGCCAGGCCAGGGGAAAGTGACGGTTGGAAGGCAGAAGTGACAAAGGCCACCTCAGCACAGCAGTGAGAGGAGCTGAGGCCAAGGGAGGCAGTCACACACCCTAGCTCTGCAAGACCTCCAGGATGGCCCGGAGGATGGCAGCAGCTGCCACTGCCCCGGGGTCTGGCTGCTCCAGCCGTGCTGAGCTGATATAACTGGCTCTTCCGGCTCCAGCTTCCATATTCTTGGTGGCCTCTGCTGCAGCTTCGGCACTCTGGGGGATGGGGTGTGGGAGCAGGTTCAAGGGCAGGCCATCAGGCCTCCTCCTTCCTGCCATGGGCAGAACGTCTCTGCCGTGCAGCCTGGCCCTGCATGCTCTTGCCCTGGCTCTGCCAGCACCCTCTGCTCTGTCACCAAATGGAAAGTTACCTCTCATCTACTTCCAGCAGGGAAAAGGGTCACCATTCACTGAGGCCCTGTCACATCCCAGGCAGTGTGCAGGGCTCTACATATTTCCTTAGCCACATAACCACCTTCTGAGATAGGTGCTCATCTCCATTGTACAGAGAAGGAAACTGTGATCCAGGAAGGTTATTAACTTGCTCAGGGTCACATGGAGACAGGAGTCTGGTGGCTAGAAGCCTGTCTCCCTGGGTGGCTGGGCCCAGCCTCACTCACCTTGACTGCTTTGGTCAGGACTTGCAACAGATCAGCTCCTGGGCTCTTCCAGGCTTGGAGCTCCTGCCCTGCTGCCCACAGAGAATCCAGCTGGACAAGGTGAGGGAGAGGGGGCTGAGCACAGGCCCTGCAACTGAGGGTGCTCTTTAGGGTTTACAGGCTCAAAAGGAGAAAGGTCTAGGGCCACAGCCCGAGTACACACCATAGTCCTGTCCCCTGGGGCAGCCTTTCCATACCTAGCAGGGAGAGAATGAAAGAGGCTCACTATAGGGAACCAAGGGAATCACTCTGAGGGTGGGGCTAGGGCCTGCAGGGGGCAGATGTCACCAACCACCTCCCCCAGCCCACCCCTGGTCTGATGCACAGGGCCCCGGCTCACTTCTGCATGGCTTCCAGGCCGGCATCCATGGCAGCAGACCAGGCTGGGAGGCTGGTCTTGACCTTGAGGGGCTGGGCAGCCGCAGTCAGGAACAGGCCATAGAGCTGGGGAGGATGAGAACACTGAGCATGTGGTGCTGGCCTGGACCCCAGCGGGCCCAGCCACCTCCCTGTCAGCCCTTCAGCCCCCAGGCACCCACCTACCTCCCTGTCAGCCCTTCAGCCCCCCGGCACCCACCTACCTCCCTGTCAGCCCTTCAGCCCCCAGGCACCCACCGCTCCAGATGAGCCTCCCATCTTCTCCAGGAGCAGGACAGACAACTTGGAGAGCAGCTGGGCAGGGCTGGCAGGGGGTGGGCCCTCCTTCAGCCACTCCCGGATTGCTGCAGGCACAGAGAGACGGGGAGGAATTCAGAGACCCTCCCTCCATCTGCTAGACTTCCAGCCAGCACCAATGACGGCTGGAAAAGGCTGACAGGGAGGTGAAATGAAGGCTTCCCAAGATCCCTTTCCACATTCAGTGTGCAGTCTAGAGAGGGGCTGGACTGTAGAACTGAAAGGGGCCTGGGGAGGTGAGGCCTGCCTCGAAGCCCCTCCACCTGACACTGTGTACTCTGCTTCCTGGCTTGGTTTTTTCTCCTTAGCCCTTTGTGCTAACATCCTCTGTTTTACTGATTTATCTTGTTGACTGTCTTCCACCCAGAACATAAGCCATGAGGGCAGTGATTTCTGTCTGCTCTGTTCACTACTGTATCCACAGTTGAGAGCAGTGCCTGCCCCATGGCAGACACCAAATACCTTTTTCTCGAATGAATGATGCTGGACAGTTAAGAGCTTTTCACTGGTCTGGGTAAACTGAGAAAAATAAGGACAACAGAATATGTTTTGCTTGAGTTGTAAGTTATTCACTGTGAAGGATTTCATTTAATTCTAAGATAATAACCTCATACATTTGTGCTATTAAGAAGGTCACTGTCGGCCAGGTACAGTGGCTTATGCCTGTAATCCCAGCACTTTGGGAGGCCAAGGTGAGCGATGGCTTGAGGTCAGGAGTTAGAGAGCAGCCTGGCCAACATAGCGAACCCTGCCTCCACTAAAAACACAAAAATTTAGCCAGGCGTGGCTGCGCACGCCTGTAATCTCAGCTAGTCGGGAGACTGAAGCAGGAGAATTGCTTGAACCCGGCGGGACGGAGGCTGCAGGGAGCTGAGATCACGCCATTGGACACTCCAGCCCGGTAACAGAGTAAGACTCCTTCTTAAAAAAAAAGAAAAGTCCCTGTCTTCAAGGCAACAGGTGGAAGGGGGCCTAGGGTTTTGTGGATGACCTAACTTGGAAAAGTCCCTGGCACCAACCTCTGGCTGCACGGCTGTGGGTGGTGCCACAGTCGCCATCACCAGCAGCCCGGTCCAGGGCATTCAGGTGTTCCTCCAGGCCCAGGAGGGTGCTGCACACCCGTTCCAGCACCAGCGCCATCCGCTTCGAGGCTGAGCCTAGAAAGGGAGGATGGTGAAGAAAAGGCCCACCAGGCCCTTCTCACAACCACACTTGACTGGGGTGGGAGATGTGGGTGCCAGGGCCCCTACCCACCCCACCGCATACCCCTGCATCCTTTGGGAAGCCTGTCCCTTCCCCAGAGGCAGGAGTTGGTACCTCCTACAGCAGTGGAATCAAGGGCCTCCTGGGGCTCGGCAGGGGCTACCCGGTTCCGCTTCCGCCCAGTAATGGAGACTGCGGCCACGTTAGGCCAGGCTACTGCAGTGGTTTCAGCATCTAAGAGCAGCAAGATAACTCTCTTAGACATGGCTGTCCAGCCAGGGATTCAGCAGGGCTTGGACCCCTCCATCCTGGCCCTGGTGGACTGGCTCCCTCAGCAGCCCTGGAGGAAGGGAGTCCACCTCAACAAGCATGGACTGAGTGCCTACTGTGTACAGGGGTATGGAGAGAGGGTCCCTAGGAAAAGGGTCAGGCCTATCTGAGGAGGATCCTAATACCAACTCCTCCTAGTACCAGTGACAGCTGGAGAAGGCTGGAGAAGCCCAGAAAGGTCCTTCTTCACAGGCTGCAGAGCCCTGATTGTCACGGTCAGCCCTGATGGAGTCTCCAAGTCTCCCTGACTCCTTCCAGCTACAAGGAGCCCTGGCTTGGGTGACCCCAGGTTCCAAGTCTCACCTATCAGTTTCAGGAGAGGCTCATCCACCAGCAGGAGGGTGAGAGAAATGCCAGGCATCTCCAGTGCTGACATGAAGGTGCCCACCAGGGCACGGGCAATCTTCACCCCGCGGCCCTCTGCAATACCAGAGCATGGCGGTCCAGAAGGGAAAAATGGGCATCAGGGAAAGAAACAAAAGAAAAGCAAGGACCTTGGAAGCTGGGGCACTGAGGTCAGGACGGGGATGGCCTGATTTCCTCCTGGCAGGCATCCCTCAACCCCACAAATGACCATGTTCCCTGGAGGTGTCCCCTACTTCACGGCAGATGAGCAATTACAGGTCTCATTTACTCAGTTCGTGCCAGGTGCTGGGTGCTGTGTGGAGTGCCTTACATATGTTTAATCTCACTTAATCCTCACAACAACGGTATAATGCAGGTACCATTATTATTACCCCAAATTTGCAGACAAGAAAATAAACAGAGGCTCAAGGTATCCAGCAATTAGGTGGCAGAGAGACGATTTAACTCAGACTTATCCGACGCACAGTCCGTGTTCTCTGCCATCACAAGGCCCTCCCTCAGCCCTTTCCAGAGGGCTGTAGGCTCCCCTTCCCAGTGCATGGCTCACCCAGGGAGCGAACGGCAGCATCGGCTATGATGCCCAATTCCAGGAATGACAGGCCACCCAGGTTGTTGACCATCATCACAACTGAAGAGCCTGTGGGTAGACATGACACCCCAGGTGAGACCCTCTGGGCGTCTCCTGCCCAGAGGTGTAGGAAGGGTTGGGAGACGTGGGCGAGAGGCTACCCACCGGGCTGCACAGGCACATGGGACGCATTGGTGGTGTCTGTCATGTGGTCGAGCATGAGTTTCACAATCTCATCAGCAGTTGCCATCTGTCACAGGGAGCCAGGAATGAGCTACATCTGGGAGGCCTTGGCCTTAGGGTGGCCTGCGCCAGGGCGACCACTTACCTTTATCCGGCGCACACCAGCTTCCCCGTGGATCCCTGCGGATAGACGTGGTCACTGCTGACCCACTCAGGGCCTGGGGATTTGTTCATTGTTTTTATCAAGGACCCACACAGTGCTGGACTCACACAGTAAGTGGGCGGGAGTCGGGGATGGAAAGGGACAGAATAATGAAAAACATGGTCTCTGTTCTCTGGGAGCTCGTGGCTTGGTGGTGGAGATAGCTTTAACTGGAGGTAGTCAGGGTGGAAGCACAGGGGAGGAAGCAGAAAGCTTTGCAGCCAGGGGATCTTTGAAGAGCCCTTGAAAGAAGGGTGTATTCTGGCAGGGACAGGAGGACCTGGGAATGGTAGGCAAAGGCAAGGAGGTGGGCAGCGTACAGAGCTCCACGTGGCCAGAGCCCTGGGTGTAGACGGCAAAGCCGGTAGGAATCAGGTAGGTTGGGCCAGGCTGGGCCTCAAATGCCCAAGTAAAAATGCTAAGACCACCTGGGGAGAGGAGCAGGTTGATGGCTCTCAGGGTATACAAGGTGGGCAAAGTCCAGGGCTAAGGGGCAGGCAGGGCTGGGATGGGCGGCCACAAGCTTACCCAGGCCCAGCTCCACCTCATCGGCTGAGAGCTCGAAGGTGGGTTTGGAACCAGGGACGCTGCAGGAGGATAAGCTCACCCCCAGGGTACCTATGAGAAACAAGGCATGAAGGGATGACTGTTCCACTCTTCAGCACTGGGCATCAGGAAGGGCGGCAGCAGCATCTCAGAAGCCCTGCCCACAGACACCCTCTTCTCTGAGAAAGCTGCCGGACTCTCCACCTCAGCCATGGTACCCAAGGCCACCAGTCCCCAGGAGCTCCCCCAGGGATACCTTCCCTAGACCCCTGGGAAATAACCTGGGGAGCACCACTAGGCAGCCAACAGGAACCTGCTCCTCATCCCGGGGATGTCCCAACCTTCCCCACTCTCCTGCCCATCTCCCAGGCCGGCACTCACCCATGGCCTGGGCGACCACGTTCACCCGCTTTGTGATCTCCTCCAGCCCCACACCTGCCTCAGCCAGAGCACCTGCCACCTGCAGCCATACAGAGTTAAAAGCCCCAGTGGGGCGGGTATCACTGTACCACGTGGGGTAGAAGACAGACAGGGGGTGAGTTTCTTGTTGGGAAAGGGGAACCTCTTACGATTTCCACACTCAACCTGGCCCATCACATTTAGGGCAGAAGAGCAAACTCCCGCCATTCACATTGTACCTGCCAGAAATCTTCAAAAATTCTAGTCTGTTGGAGTCAGAAGAGACTTTACAAATGGGGAAATGGACTCAGAGAGGGGAGGTGACTTGTCCAATGTCACACAGCCAGTGGGTGGCCAGTTTCCCAACTCTAGAGTTCCAGAGTTCTCTCTCCCACAGCCTTGCTATTGTGGGTCACTTTACCCATCTATCCATCCATCCATCCAGTCAATTTTTACCAAGCATCTAGCATATGCTGAAAAGGAAAAAAGGCAACTAAGTCACAGTCCCCACCTTCAAGAACTCACAGCCTGGAGAGAGGCTAGGGAAGCAGACACGCACAGATGGAAAATTTATGTGAAGTGGTAATTACAATTACACTAGGAGGGGCTGCCAGCCAGCTCAGGGTACTGGGGAGATGTAGATCAGGGAGAGCCTTCCAGGTGGGGAGACATCAGAGTTGGGCCTCTGCAGAATGGTAGGAGTTAGCCAGGCCAAAAGGAGGCTGGACAAGGAAAGAATTTTCCAGGCCACAGACACTGCATAAGCAAAGCCAGAGATGACCCACAGCCTGGTAGGTACAGGAGCTGGCGTGAATGGACCGTAAGAGTAAGGCAATGATGGCAGGGTACGGTGGCTCACGCTTGTCATCCCAGCACTTTGGGAGGCCGAGGAGGGCAGATCATTTGAGGTCAGGAGTTCGAGACCAGCCTGGCCAACATGGTAAAACCCCATCTCTACTAAAACTACAAAAATTAGCCAGGCGTGGTGGCAGGCGCCCGTAATCCCAGCTACTGGGGAGGCTGAGGAAGGAGAATCGCTTAAACCTGGGCAGCGGAGACTGCAGTGAGCCAAGATTGCGCCACTGCATTCCAACCTGGGCAACGGAGTAAGACTCTGTCTCAAAAGAAAAATAAATTAAAAAATAAATAAATAAAAGAAAATTTAAAAAGAGGAAGGCAGGGATGATGGGAGATGAAGGTGGGGAGTCAGGGAGCTGGGGTGAGGGCTTGTGTTGATTCCAAGGACCCAAGAAGGCTTTCAGTGGATGAACCTAGTCAGATACACATTTTAAAAAGACATCTCTGGCAGTCGTGTGAAGAATGGATGAGCAAGACCAGAAGGCAGGAAGCAGCAGGGGAGCCCAGTGAGGAGGTGGCTGCAGCCATTAGGCATGAGCAGATGACCCCCGAACCAAGGCAAAGCAGGAGGGCGGGGTCTGAGGAGGATGTGTGTTATATACATTTGGGAGTAGAAGCGCCAGAACTGGGCAACTGATTGCGTGTGGAGAAGAGAAGGGCACGAGGCTGGGAAAATGCCTGTATCTGGGCTTAGGTAGCTGAGGGGATGGCGGGGCCTTCTGAGATCAGGGAACACTGGAGAAAAAGAAGTAGCTTCTTGGGGAAGGGCTGGAAAGGTCCAGTTACAGGGTGCTGCCAGGCAAGGGAAGGCTGGAAGGGGCTGGCCAGTCTCTGTGTCCCCAGTGGAAGCCTACCTTGTGTATAAGCACCGTGCCACACAGCCCCCGCCGGCCTGCCTTCTTCAGGACGGTGAAGGCGCTGTCATCCCCGATCACCACCATCTCCACCGGGATGCCTTCAGCCCGGGCCTGCTCCCTGGCCAGGCCGAAGTTGAGCCGATCCCCAGTGTAGTTCTTCACGATGAGGAGGGTCCCCACTGCAGAAGCAGCCGGCAGGGCTCAGCACCCTTACTGTGCCCTCCCCGCTGCAGCCCCTCCTGCATGCCAGGCTTACCTGTGCCAGCCTGGGCCACTGCCCTGATGGCTGCCAGGATGCTGCCCACTGCTGGGGAGGTGAATACGGCTCCTGCGATGACCCCGGTCAGCATCCCCTTCCCTATGAAACCTGGAGGTGGAAGGGGTAGAGTGAGCATGGCAGGTGGGACTTGCGCCTGTAGTCACTGGGGCTTCCCATGCTCCGGGGGTCATGGTTTGGTGAGCCCTACTGTGTGCTTGGTGCTCAAAGATCCCCCAGGTCTTCAAATGGCTGACTCCTTCTTAGGAGGCACCTTAGAGAGGCCTTCTGGGACCTCCCAGCCTGAAGCAGTCACCAACTCCCTCCCCAGGAACTCACTGTTCCTTTGCCCTGTTTTACTGTCTGTACTAAGTCAGTTAGCACCCTCTGAAATGATCTCATTTCCTTTCGTGTTTACCTGGCTATTGTCTATCTCCCCTAAGTAGAATAAAAGCTCCACGAGGGCAGGGACCTTGCCTGTCTGCTTCATTGCTGTATCCCTAGTGCCCAGTACAGTGCCAGGTACACAATGGGCTCATGAGTGTTTGCCAAATGAATGGATTTTGCTGAAGGAAGACAGGAAGGGGACAAATGATGCGCATCCTAGTCCCTGCCCTCCAGCAGCCCTCAAGGAGAGTTCGCGTCCCTGGCTCCAGGTGTGGGACACGGCAGGTGGGAATTCAGAAGAGGGGTGCTGCTCTAGGCTGGAAGAGTCAGGAAGCCTTCACGGAAGAGGGGGTGGGTCTGCTGGGCCTGGAGGGTCCAGAAGATTCATGGAATCACTGACTCTCAGAGCTAGAAGGACTTGAGGGATTGTTTGGCCCAACTTCATAGTTTTGTAGATGTAGAAACAGATTCAGAGAGGCCGTGATGGGCCCCTGATCCCAGCCGGAGGGAGTGGGACAGTGGGAAGCAGCCCCAGTTCCTGACTCTGGGTTGGGCTCCGTCCTGCACCTCATGGCAGCACTGAGGATCTCACAGGAGGCCCTGTCCACTCCACCAGTACCCCCTGCCCCACCCCAGGGTACTCACCAGCATGGGCAGGCTCATGGCCAGAGCCCCCACCCGACAGCAGTGCCACCCGGCCCTTGAGGCTGTCCAGGTCAGAACGGAGGGCCACGCGGTGGCCCTGCAGCAGCTGCAGGTTGGGGTTGCAGGCCACCAGGCCAGCAAGGGCGTCATCAGCACAGCCAGCCACCGAGTTCACCAGCTTCTTGGAGGTCTGCAGGGGAGGAGTGAGAAGGATGTCAGAGTGTGGTCAGCACAGACACCCCCATCCTGCCCAGCCACACTGCTGTTGTGTAGACCCCTCTCCCGCATCCACCTACGAACTCCAGGAGCGTAGGACTTCCTTGAGTTGGGTGACAGGTGGGTATTTCTGTGAGTTTTCAATAATGTGTGACTTTCTATTCAGTACCTAATTTATGAAGTGTCTTGCACCATACCTTCAATTTATTCTGAAAAAATGGCTGCAATACAAAGAAAATGGGGGAGTTGTTGTCTGCAGTGTAAAATATTTTAATAAAACTGGGGCCCAACACCTTCT